TCAACATACCTCCCCACACCACAGGCACATTGACATCAAACCGTTTTGACTTCTGTTTCAAGTTAAATAGGGATAGTTCCTTCACTTGTAACCTTCATTACCTTCATACATAAAGATACGTTCGTGGTTTTTTCAGAAATATGAGTTTGCCATAAGCTGACAGAACTAAGCTGAAATAGATAATATTTTCGCATTGCGACTTCAACGTATAATATCGCGGGATTTTCATTTCTCAAGGCATTATTTTTATTACAATTATAAATTTTCCTTACGAGATCATGTTTCATGTGTGTGGATTTGAATCAGGCTGTAATAGTGGACCATTTTGATGTGCCGCTTGACCTTTGAATCATTAAAGTCATGGTTGTAAAAACGAAGAGCCACACACACAGCATACCCACCCTCGCTTCAATTTTTTAATGACCGTATTTGTCTATTAGAATCGAAATAATAAATTCATGGAAGCCATATATTGTTGGAAATTTACACCTGGGCTATAGGCTATAACGCTCAGGATAAAATTCAAATATCACGAACCAGGCCATTTGTAATTTTCCAACAATCTATGGCTTCCATGAATTATTTCTTAAATATTATATACCCATATGTAAAAAAATATCTATGCAAATTATGCCAGCACAGCATGATATCTTTTATTTTTTGTTGCGTACATGTACATTAGTACCTATCAATTGTCAAATATATGTATGATTAGTCCCATGTGTTTATGTTTTTCGGGGTAATGTTTTTCCACTGCCTGCAGAGCCATATGATTCGATCTTTAAAAAACCATGGTACTTTAAAATAATAAAATTTCATGTGTGCACACGTAAATGTGTGGACACAGTAAAATACTTGACAGGCAATACTACACTCATCACAACAATTATCAAGGAAAAAGTTTGTTAAAATCAGATGAAAAATAAAAACTTGTGGCATATATTTTTATGCTATGGGAAGTTACTTATTTTTACATGAACACCCTATTAACATTTTCTACAGTTGTTAAATTTTTTTGTACATTATCACTAATGTTAATTACCATCATTTGTTGAATTCTGTAACAAATGAGTTGTTAAGTGTGGTTTACTGTGAGTTTGTTCTTCTAGGAAAATGGCTCGTCTATATTTTCTTTCCTTTGGGCTTTCAAACCAATATTCTTCAGTAGATGAAACATCTAAATCTGTAGATACATGTACTTATAGACAATTAACAGTTTCAGAGAGTGACAGATAAGAGACTTTATGTAATTACTCTAAATATAATTTACAACATTTTTAGTATTTGACAGTTTTGAAAATTGCAGAAAACTTGATTTTTTTTATGCTCATATGACATGTATTGCACATGTGGATATTAGTTGACCCATTTGATTTTGTAATCTTATTTCAGTCCCAGATGATGATGATTAAATTCAGGAAAGCAGGACAAATTGCCCCACACCTCATTGTGCCACTTTTTCACCGACCTCCGGCAATTGCCCAACTTTTAAATAAACCATTAATTATCACAGAGATATATATATTCGAAGTCAATGAAATATGACTGAAGGTACATTTTTTGTACATGGATAAACAATCTCCAAGGATTGCATGGCTACTTTTGTCTTTAAACTGAGAATAATTCAACACAAATGAACAATTAGTGAAAGGTAATGTATATAAGTGGCAGGAACATATATATATATACAGCAGGATAGCATCTTCATCCATGAGTGGGGCGAGTTGGCATTACTTAATCAATTGTGATTTATCTATTTGTCATGAGTGGGGCCAGAGAGGTGGGTTACAGGCGCCAATCCAGAGGGGGGGTCCAGGGGGTTGGAACCCCCCTTTTTTTGGACGATCAATGCATTTGAATGGGGACATGTAATTGGAACCCCCCTTTGTGCTGGGTTAGGAACCCCTCTTTTTAAAATGGCTGGATCCACCCCTGGGTTACTACCTGTACTTTTAGTAGTATGAGTGTGCTGAAAAAAGTGTCCTATTTGCTGGTTTGAACAGGGTCCCTTTTTTCATGTTTAGCTGGTTAGAGCAGGGTCGCTTTTCATGCCTTGCCGTGGTGAGAACAGGTTCTCTTTTTAACTGTTTCTATTTTATATGATCTAGTACAAGGTTTTTTGAGCGTGTATAGAACAGGGTATGTTTTTCAATGTTTAATTATTGCCTTTACATATGGTTAGAACAGCTAGGGTATGATTTGACAATTGCTGACAGCACAGTTATACTTGAAAGGATAGTCAGAACATCCTACCCTGTCCAAATAATTATGACGTCTTGAAAGGCTATTATAATAGGGCTCTTCACGGTTAGTTCGGCCATATTGGATAGGGGACAAAAATACGGGAAAACATCATAGAAACAGAGCAGTTGCTTGGAAACACACATAGGATTTCCCATACTTTCATACTATTTCCACCTCTTTCTAAAAAAATCTGCCCCCTATCCAACATGGCCGAACTAACCGTGAAGAGCCCTATTCTTTTCTTAGACGCCTGCCTTAGTAAGGCGTCAAAGAAAAAAATTACAATAGCCTTTCAAGACGTCATAATTATTTGGACTAATCCTACCCCACCTCCGGGGAGTGAGGCCAGTTGGTATACTTTATTTCATGATATTTTATCCTTTTCACAAGTGCAGAAGTGGGGTGAGTTGGTAAACAAGACTCAAGAGTGATCAAGAGTGTGGCGATTTTTAAACTTTAAGGAAGTGGGACGATTTGGTGAAAAAGTAGGGCAATTAGGTGTGTAGCGATTTGTCATGGATTCCAACCTTCATATAAATATAAAACAGGCGGGATTTCTCAACCATAACAGAACAGTGGCGTGAAGCGCCCGAGATCCCCCCTCCCCCCCTAAATCTGCAATGCCAATGGCGGTTCATTTGAAAACTTGACTCACTTTTGTCACTATATTCGTTGTTATTGTATAAACTCGATTGGACATATATGTTGAAACAATTTTTTTTATATCTCACCATTGTCAGAGTCTGGACTATTACACCAATAACGTGTTTTCTTATTTTTTGGCGTTTCCATTCCATTTGACAAGATGTACGCTGCGTTGATTTTCTGGAGAGAGGCTGCGCGGTCTGGTTTCTTTATTTTATATGTTGTTCTAGTTAGGAATCAGTTTGAACCAGTACCAGTTTGCTGCATCCGGGCCTTTCCGTTTTTGACGCTCACCGACGCAGCAGACGAATTTTACAACTGATTCAAGACTCAAACAAACTCATTATGGCACAACTAAAATATGCCATAATGCTATGGGTAGGAGACAGTATGAAAATGTCTGTGCACCATTTGAAGTTTGTGACAATTCCTAAAAAACCGTGGAATGCATTCAAGAGGGGTGACGCAGGATGGTCACGGTATCCTAGCACTTCCGAGGAGTGGGAGTTTAAAGTTTTGGCAGTTGGAGGTAAGTTACCTCGCATGTTTAAAGATTTTTTAGTACAGTCGTGTCCGGTAATTTCGCCCGTTCGATAACTCCACCCTTTACCTCCGTTTGTGTCTCTACCGAAAAATTTTCGTCTGCTATATTATTTTTACTTTGAAGAAAATCAAAGGGGGATAATTCAATCTTAAAACTAAATATTACATTTTGGTTTATTCTTCTTTTTCACCAATTTCTTGATCATATTGACTTGATGTTTTCGTATTTCATTCTCCTTTTTTAGAGGTCCAATTATTACTAAAACACTAGTCCAAATAATACACCTAATCGCTATTTATTCCATTCCGGATAAGTTCTAAAATTACACAACTTTTTCATCCAGTTGAAGCTATCTGGGACCCTGTTTAATCAATTCACCATGCATGCTACTTTTTTAATGAGACCTGTTTAAACTACCGTAAATACTTCAAACAAAATATTTTTTTACTTCAATTTTAATTTCGAAAAAAAGTGGATCATACTATATCAAAGTTTCTTGAGTTGATGATCACTTTCTAAAGTTTTTCCTCCCTCAGCTCACTGCTGATGACCTCCATTTTCGGCCCGCGTGACCTTAACAGGAAGTTGTATAAATGACTTTTTTTCAAGGAATGGACTAAATAGCGATAAGGTGTATTATGATGTCTGGCAAGGCTAATTTTTTTTCTGGGACGCCTTTCTACGTCCAGTTTATAAAACACTTTATTGCTAATCTCGGCTCATACGGAAATTTTGACGTCATTTAAAATCACTTTTCCATTGTGGCGTCAGATATTTTGTTTTATGATGTCAAAATTTTACGGGAACATGTGTGATATTGTAGGATTAAATAGTGTCCCCCATGAAATGATGTCCCATCACACACATAATCATACCGCTGTTTATATTCATCACTTTCCATTTTTGTTCACATCTGTGTTGTCTTTATTTAAATTTCAATTATGATTTAACTAATTGATTTAAACATTTCAATGATTGCTAAATTATTTCCCTTCAGAAAAAAATAGCTACACTATGAAATATTGTCCTTTGTGACATATTTTTATAAAACATCCATGAAATTCTGTGCAAGTACTAGGGACAATTTTTCACTAAGGCATACACTATTTTATAGTTTACAAATGTGATATTCTGTCCCATGAACAAAATTTCACAGATGAACTGTGAAATATTGTTCTAGAGGACACAATTTCATGGGACACTTTTTTGGCTTACAATATCCAGTAATGGCGGACAAATAGCGAAGGTGTATGACATCTGGCAAGGCTATTTTTTTTTTCTGCTACTCACTATATACAGCTAGTAAATGGGTCTAGCTATATATACATGTATAGACTGAAATACACCAGCTCAAATACACAGAAACATTTTATTTCCATAAAAAAGAAGATTTGGCATGATTGCCATGTGAGACATCTCACCACAAAAATTAACAACTATAGGTAACTGTGCAGTCTTCAACAAAGAGCAAAGCCTGTACCGCATAGTCAGCTATAAAACGCCAAAAATGACAATGTAAAACAATTCAAACGAGATAATTGATGTACTGTTAAAGTGTTTAACTGAATGAATTGAGATTATGCATTTATTCTTATGTAGAATTATATGATGTTAAATTTGCATGGTAATTTGTTTCTTTAGAGGAAAGACAAAACCTGACAAAAGAGCTCGACAAATATTTAAAGGACCCAGCCAAAGTAATAGGTAAGATTTCAGTGCTGATCACAGGGCTCAACCATAGTTTTTTTTTATCAACTGAATAGTCCATTCAAAATACTTGTCCAGAGAAAAGTAACATTTTCCCCCTTAATGTATCATATTAATATAATCTAGGTCTAGGTTGTTAATGATTTTTTATTCTAAAAAGAGTTACATATCCCTTTTGCCCCAAAATTCTTAATTTCTGGTTTTCCAGATTATAAATTGAGAACAAAAGACTAGATTGAAGATCGATGCTATGTGTGGTGTGTAATAACATCATATGAATCAATGAATGTCTAGGTCAAGTTTAATAATTTCAATTTTTTCTTTAACTATTTTCAAAAGAGTAATGCACCTTTTTATACTTATAAATTTCTTAATTTTTGATTTCCAGATAGTCACCATAAAACGAATAACTAGATGTAAGCTGTAGGTGTGCTTGTTAGGTTATTTGTTATTAATATCAAGGTCAAGTTCAATAATGAAAATATTTCGACATTTTTGTCACATACATTGTAGCTCTTCAACAGTTTCAGTACTTATACATCTTCAGATTTCAAATGTTTGCCTTTGAGCGTTCCTGATAAAGGTAAATCCAGAAAAGTGCTTGGGACACATGGAATTATTAAACTTGTTGTTTTCAATTTTCTTTCAGACCAGCTGAATTTGGAATTCCTTAATAATGAGACTGAGGAGGAGAGCCAGAGTATTCTTACCCCTCCAGTCACTGACAATAAACTAGGTACATGTAATTATAGCTTTTAGAAATGCATTATATACATATATGAATTTGTTGGAAAATCATATCTGTATGTATGTTGTGCATGAATGATCTGATGATGGTCCTCCACACAATTTTAAGCTTTTTTTTTTGCCATTCCTTTCACAAAAATTATTTATACTATTTTTGGCTGTGATGGATAAGGAAAATAACGACTGGTAATATGTTAGGCCAAAAATTTGGTGATTAATGTTATCTGGTCTGTGTCTGTTTGTTCATTCGTCCCGTTTCAGGTTAAAGTTTCTGGTCAAGGGTAGTTTTTGATGAAATTGAAGTCAAATCATTTTGAAACTTAGTACACATGTTCCCTAGGATATGATCTTTCTAATTTTAATGCCATTTAAAGTATTGACCTCAATTTCATGGTCCACTTAACATGTAAAATGATAGTGTGAGTAGGGCATCTGTGTACTATGGACACATTCTTGTTTACAACAATTTTAATTGGTTTGATCAGTAAACATTTAAAACAGATATCAGGATTGAAAAATCTAAAATGGCTGATATTTTGACAGAATACATGTATACAGTGTAACCTGTCTAATCCAAAACCTCAGTAGTCCAACATCCTGCTTTAACAGACACATTTTCATGATCCCAAAATATTATTATCCTTGCAGAAAAAAACTAATTATTGCGACACACTGCTATCATCTCTCTTTAATATCTTTTTCTGTTTTTACAGATGAACCACAGGAACAATCGACTAGACACAGAGTTAGAAGGGTAATACCACCAATAGAATCGGATTCCGAAAAAAGTGAAGAACATGAACATGAAGAAGTGTATGATGATTCCGGTATATTTTTCTTAATAATTGTATAATTAATTGCAGGAAGGTCACATTATTCGTGAATTTGTTGGTTTAAAAGTCTATTTCTATGAGCTGATGCATCTTACAGACTGATGACAAATAAGGGAAACAAATTTATTGTGTAATTGCGCAAACAACATTTCAGGGTCAGTTATAATTGATTTGTCTATTTTTAGAAACTGAAAGTTTTATTTTTTGACAACAGAAAGTGTTATCAATTTTTATAGTTATTAATTTATTTCATTGCATGAAAAAAGAATTAATATTTTAATTATTTTTCCGGGATAATGCATTTGTTAGGGTCTGCGGGAATAAAAAAGCATGAAAAGTCAAATTTTTTTCTATTCAGTAAATCGCCAAAATTGGGTCTGCAGATCGTAAAACAACAAATTAAAAACTCCTGGCCTTATCAGTATTTGCTATTTTAGTGATTTTTGCACCCACATCATCTATTTAAACATGTACACCAACTTTTGTTTTGTACAGAAATTATAGGGGGGGGGGGGGGGGGGGGTGGTGACTATTATTTGCCATAAATATCATAGCCAATTGGTGTAGAAAAACTATAAAGTCCTATGCCTTGCATAAGTTTTGCCTTTATATGCAAGAAGTATTTTGACATGCATGTAGTTTTTCTTTATACATGCTTCATATTTCACTCTATAATTTTAGACAAAGATGAGGATTTCTTGCCCCCTAAAAATAAAAAAACAGAGACATGAGGAATCCACCACTGATGAGAATGCTTCAGGTTTGTGGTTTTGTTTTGATGCATCCCCAAAAAATAAACGCAGAAAATTCTGAAATTTAGAATACCTATGACCTGCCCTTAAGGTTTCTGATACTGCAATTAATTAAGAACAAGTTGTGCGCTTTGAAAAGGTCTAGGAGATATCACAATTTTTTTTTTCTCCAATATTTCATCTTCAACCCAAAAAAAATAAATAATTAAGTATTAGAAACAGTGCAAAAGTAACAACGAAACTGACTGACATGGAGGGTTTATGTAAAATTTCCAGGAAAATGTCAGGACTTTTTCAGGTGTCAGTGTAACCCTATAACTAGGGTTACACTACTGAATTTCAATAGCTTAACTGGGAGTTAAATGGAACACTATGAAAAATACCTATTCATGGATATCAAGTCATGTCTTATATTGCAGGTAAAGCCAAAGTTAAAAAAAGCAAAAAGAAAAAACAAAAACAAAAACAAACAGATGAAACAGATGAGGTATGACTATTTTGCACTAAAGTTTTGAAGATATAAATGTAACTATATATTTATAGAAACTAAATGACTAAATTAAAAAAGGTAATCTTGCCCTAGTTTATAGAAAATTTAGAAAATAGTTCATTGTTAGCTAAATGAAAGCCATTCCTAAATTTATTCTTAGCTTTTCATTCCCGCTCACCACAATTTTTATTGTGCAATTATACCATTATACAATCCCGAAATATTTTTTGAGGTCATATAAAAATCTAATTTGTACTCGCTGCATGTGGTCATATAATGCTTCTGTTAGGCTTTGCATATTTTTAATATATAACATGTTCTTACAGGTAAAAAAAGCCAGAAAAGACTTTTGTCTTTTAAAAAGACAAAAGGAAAAGTTATCAAATGAAACATCGTCAATGATGTCAAGGAACCTCCTGTCAGAGGATAACAGTATGATAGATGAGGCAAGTACATTTATAGGTTGCACTTTGTAAATACAGCTGTTTCTCAAAACACGCTTCTTTTGGGGAGATCTTGTGAATATTCATAGAAAATTAATTTTGTTTACATACTGGTTCCCAGTTATGCTCTCTGTGTTCCATCTCACAGAGACATAACTTGGGAATGTTACCAGTAAATATACACGTGCATATTGTTTACATTGAAATCTGTGGTAACCTGTAATTTGATTTATAGGAGTTATTGCCCTTTAACTTGAATGAAATTGTATGTGATTATGCAGTGCTCCACATTTTGAAGAAGTGACAACATTAGATTTTATTTACAAAGAACCAAATCTATAACCTTTGATAGTTTGCCTTATTGAACACTGATCTTTTGGTAGTTGGCACTACTTTTTCTGTGTTATTGCAGTGTTTACTTTGACCCTCTGAGAAGCATTGATGAAATCAATCACATAAGAATGCTAGAGATAAAATGTTTCTTTTTTTTTAAATACTTGAGATTGCTAGGATAATTTGCAACAGAACCACATTCAATTGGACTTGCCTATCGAACAAGAAATACAATAAAAACAACTGTGCCCACAAACATGAATTTTGGGTTACATCTTTATCGTGTGTTTATCTTGTTTTACAGTTAAATTTGCTGACTTCCGCTGTGAGAGATGTCCAATCAAGCCAAGTTACAATCATGGCAAGATTGGACTCATTTATTGAAACTTTCCAATGCAGGGACTGCATTATGCAGGTGGTTAAGGAGTACAAGGTAAACCGTACAATCATGCATATCATCAGTTCTTAACAAACATGATATTTTTATTTTTTGAATTAACATTTTTTTAATATTGTCCTAAGTAGAATATTGCCGGAGTTTAAAAGTGCAAATAATTTTTTTTAAGGTACAATATGCAAGAAATAACTTTAATTCTATAGCTTAACCTTAAAATTGCTATGCTAAAAAACTACCATGATGTCATGATTTTAAAAAGATATGGAACAAGAATAACTTTCGATTTCATTCAACATATTAAAACTTAACTGGTGGCTAAATCTTTGATTTATATAGTACTGGATATGTACAAAAGTTTGGTCACCATGTCCTATATTTACACATTAAAATTGTCAAGTTTTGTCAAGTTTTATATTTAGGTTCATATCTTAAATGTACATACCACATATATATATACTAAAGAATAATATATACAACAACTAAACTCTGTAACATTCATAGTACTGAGCTTTTTATTGTGCAACAATTTGCTCACCATAACCCATATTTCATACTATATTGAATTAAATAGACTTAGATACAAATTACTGGTCTTAAATTTTCAGATTGCAGTAAAATCAGGGTCAACTCCAGGTAAAGAAAAAGCAAGTAAACCTGAAGAGCAACCGCAAACCAGCAAACCTGAAGAGCAACCGCAAACCAGCAAACCTGAAAAAGCTGAACAGCAAACAAGCAAATCAGAAGAACCAATAGGTGATATATCAGGGATAGAAGTCAATGGTATGTTTGATATTCAGAAAGTTTATTTTCTATATAGTGCTTTGTAAAAATATTTGATCAAACATCAAATTCTATACCAGGCCTCTACAATAATTTTTTTTTCAACTTGTCCTGTAGGACAAGTACATACCAAAATTTACTTGTCCGAATGAAATTGTTACTTGTCCAAAAAAATTCTATTAAAAATAACCTTTTTACATTTTTAGTTGATTAAAGGAGCAAAACGAATTTAAACAATATAACAGAATTTGATGTATTTCTTTTGAAATACTTTTCAAAAATATGAGTCAAGTACAACTGCGAAACTAGTCATGTCACATGAATTAGGTTCTACTTTTCATCAATGCTAGTCTCACCAGACTCTAAACATGAGGCACCATCTGATAGGCCTGTACATTAATTGGATTTGTATTCTGTTTTGTTTTTTAAGTTGAAAAAAGTTTATTCAAATGCAATCAATAAAAAGACGAAGGTAAGCCATCATAAATGAGACAACTCTCTGCAAGAGACCAAATGACACAGAAATTAACAACTATAGGTCACCATTTTGCAAGAATTGTTTTTTTTTCTACTTATGATCAAATATGATTTGTGAATTTTATGGTAAATAAAAAAAAAAAATTGTGAAAAAATTACGGTATGGTATTTATTATAAGGAACAGAATAAGGTAGCAAAATGAGGTACTGATTTGTCTTGGTCCCGAAATGTGTCCTGCCTTGTCAAACTGTCTATCAATCATGTCTACTAAATATGTCTCCTACGGTGTCAAACTGTCTATTAAACTTGGAGCTGAATCTTTTGAGGTGACGAACTGTCCTGTAAAGTTACCTTATCTACAAAGCGCATCATTGATTCGGATCAGTAAGACTGGTTTCCCAAAATAGTATACCTTTTACCTGTTAAAAAGTACCTGACAAAGAACTAGTTAAAAATTATCGATTGCAAGTAAACATGTTGAAAGAAAAGGTTTTGCATTTGAATAAACAGAATACAGAAACATGTCAAATAAAGATTTGTTTTCTTGTTTTTTGTTTATAATAAATAACTTTGTTAATCAAAGTTGGATTACATTTATTTTCGGCAGAATAATTGTACTTGTCCCGACGGACAAGCTTGATACAGCTTTTACTTGTCCGACCTTTTTTCCCTCTGGTACCGGACAATCGGACAAGCATTATTGTCGAGGCCTGTATACACAATTTGTTTGCAATGCTGGTATGGTGAAGAGAATTTGTCCTTAATTGGTCCTCTTAAAATCCAAGTGAAACATTTGGTTAACCAGGTGGGCGATGACAGGCTCCTGGGAGTCTCTGATTTTAAATGTTCATTTTAATAACCTCCTGTATTATATGCCAATGGATATTATCTATCCATCACTGTTTTCGAGTTAAAAGGACCAAAGTGATAACAATTTCCTAAATTTAAACTGTTTTCAATTTTGACAAACTTGCCATATCTAATTTTCAGGGTTTTTTTTTCTCTTCAGAACTTTGCTTCTATACGTCAATCATTATCAAAATGTTTCACCTAAAAATGCAATATCCAAAACAATTCAGGTGTACATTTTTGATATAAAACAAAAACTTTTTAAAGCTATAATCTGAACATTAGCGTTTTCTAAAATGTTTTGGCTAAAATGCATTATGTGTAAATGTAGCATCATTGTCTTTACAGAGAGTGAAGAAGACAAGACTACACTAGATGATGTAGAACATTTTGAAAGTAACACTGATGGTGAGTTCAATATTAACCAAAGTTGCCCTATATCAACCTCAAACGTTACCCAATATCCCGGTCACAGTTTCATCTTCCTTTCCATTAATAACTTATTTTCATATTTCTATTGTATGATGTTTAATTATTTTTAATCCACTTTTGATGCTTTTTTAGGCGCCACGTACAATAGTAGAGGGGCATTATGTTTTCTTGTCTGTGCGTTTGTTCGTTCATCCTGCCGCCTGTCCCACTTCAGGTTAAAGTTTTTGGTCAACATAGTTTGTATGAAGTTTAAGTCCAATCGACTTCAAACTTTGTTCACATGTTCCCTATGTATGATCTTTCTAATTTTAATGCCAAATTAAGAGTTTTTACCCCAATTTCATGGTCCATTGAACATAGTAAATGATAGTGCGAGTGGGGCATTCGTGTACTGGGAACACATTCTTGTTTCACGAAAATCGTCAACATGTAATTTGAAGTCCCACTAAAATCATATCTGAATGACAAAAAAACAAAATTGAAAAACAATGGATGCCATAAACCAGAAAACACCAGATAAGATTCTGGAGGCGGATAAGGATAATTCCGGGTTTGCTGATCTAATACAATTAAAAAAAAAAACCCAGGCAGGTGACAAAATACATCTTTGATGATAAAATAATTTAACACTAGAATTGAAAACAAAATATAATTATATGGAAAAGAAAGTAAAAGCAAGAAATATTTTATACAGAAACTCAAAATTACTTTTAGTACACAAATTGTTATGTCAAAATTCAACTTATTCAATAAAAATGTGACATTAATTTTCTTTATTATTAATAAATGTTGATATTTCATATATATATTTTTGTAGAGTAAACATATTACTACAATTATAAGAGGGAACTCCTTCTCAATTTTAAATGGCTGCCCAGTAGAATCTTGAATTTTCTCAATTTATTTTTACAGAGGAACCAAATAAATAGATTTGAATTTGAACTGCTACTTAAATTGTATACTCAGAAATGAACAATATAAATAAAGAGATACATATGACCCTTTATATCATAGTAAAAACTACAAGACAACACACCCACCAACAGTGACACCCTCCCCTTAAAAAAAAAGATAATGTGATTTTATTATATATAAGACAATTACATGTATAATTAAACATGTTTTACAACAGTGACACTGACAATGAAACAAGTTAACCTAACACCAAAAGCGCATAAATTTTGTATGTCACTGAGTTGTGAAATATTTCAAGTTAAAAAAGGATCTGGAATTTGGGCTGTGGACTTTTCATTTTGGAGTGTCAAAGGTCCTGGACCTGCCAGTACCAAATGTAAATTTGAACCCCGGTTCATGTATATCTAATTTAATCATACTATTATTGCGGTTTATTTCTTTACAGCATTAGTGTGTCTTGGTGAGACCCGGTATGGAATTAAGATGAAGTCAGCAAATCTAGCAAGGTGTGAAGAACAAAGCCAGACAGCCGAAAAATTTGTGTCAAACCTACTGGAATATTTAGTCACTAAATCAGACTGCCAGGCCATGACCGTGTATGGTCATGGCAAAAACAAGAGGGAAATGGATCCTCAAATGAGGAAGGCCATCAGAAGTATGTTTAATTGTAAATACAACATGTAAATAAGCAAGCTCATTGTAGAAATGAAACTGTATTCCATTGATGGTAACTATACTAGGACTTCTAGCGTTGCTGTAGGTGACGCACTGTCGACTGATTTGCCACAACACAAAATACTGAAAATTCATAGGCTATAATTAATACAAGAATTAAACAAAATACCGGTGCACACTTAACTACAATCATAAGCACACATGTAAACATAAGACAACTCTGTAAACTAAAGCTTGCATATACAAACTGATAAAGATGCAGGAGTGATTTCTGGTGCTTCAGTAGAGTTAAGGTTGCATGTATGCTTTAATATTAAATTTGGATGGTGAATGGCACATTTTGATGTATCTCTATGCAAAAGGTATTAACATAAAAAAAATTTGAACTAACTTGTCATAACCTGTGATTGTAAGTTTGCCTGTATCATAAATTTTGAACATTTGAAACGCTTTGTTCCAGTTGACCTTCTGTTGACCTAATTGTGACCCATGAAGCAAAAAAAGTGATAATATACATTATCGCTATTTTGTGCATTTTTCCTTTGATTTTTTTTTGTGATAATTTTCATATCATGCTTCTTGCTTGAGATGGAAAAATTATCGCTAGAAACTAAGGAG